GAATAGTGGCTTCTACAACATAGCTGAACCACTTGCCAAGAAACTTCTTCATCGCTATCCCACATGAGAACACTGTGGGGGATCTGCTCACAAACTTATTCAATCTCCTTTCCAAGCTACCCAAGATTTTAGACTCTATAACCCCACTCGGTACATCATCAGATGCAGCATTCTCCACCTGACCTCAGCATTCTGAACCTGACTATAAATACTCGCGTTCCTTCCACCCCAGGTAGTTCTGTTTGTGACTTGAAAAAGCCCACTGTGTGGGCGAAACGTAGTCAATAAAGGATCACATTATACTGCATATGTGTTTATATTTCCATTGTGTTGGTATTTTATACCATTTATTTCCACACTTTGATCATGTCACCCCTCATTCTTCATTTTACAAGTGAATGCAATTTAACCCTTAACCCTTTCAGGGTCCGTCCCGTAGATCTACGGCTTTACGTTCAGGGTCCAAACCATAGATCTACGCCAAAATTCTAGCGCCGTCAAATTTAGCAGGAGAAGGCTGGTAGGCCTACATCTAAGAGAATGGGTCTGGGTGGTCAGTGTGCACACCATAGAAAAAATCTGGACACCCACATGGCATTGTGGGAACGCCGGCAAATTAGCTTTGTTCATAGTGCCTGGTGGCAAGATGCTCTCACTCCCCACTCACTCTCCGGGCTAATTCTGACTCTCCTCTTCACAACTTACAGTTCTAAGACTGATGGAAGTGGAGCTGAAGACGAATTCTATGGTTTTGAACCATATGGTACCATTGTGCCATATGGTACAATGGCACCATATGGTACAATGGTGCCATGTCATACAATGGTATCATATGGTACAATGGTGTATATGGTGCAATGGTACCATATGGTACAATGTACGTATAGTACATTGTACCATATAGTACATTGTACCATATGGTACAGGGTATGGGGACCCTAATGGAAATAAATCTGTGACTTTTTTGGGTTATCCTAGGTTCTCCAAACATATGCTGCTAAGTATGATATTCTATGTAACTTTATTTGTGTATAACTAAATAAACTTACTTATGATGCCACATGCACTTGAGTAAGTTTATTCAGGTGTACAGAAATACAATTACATAGATTATCATACATAGTAGCATATGTATAAAATCCTAGGATAACGCAAAAAAGTCAGGGTGACTTATTTCTATAGTTATCCCTGTATCTGTACCATATGTACCTTTTCATAGGTACCCTGTATCATATGGTACCCTGTACCATATGGTACCCTGTACCATATGTACTGTACCTAGGGTACCCTGTACCATATTGTACCCTACACCATATGGTACCCTGTACCATATGGTACCCTGTACCATATGGTACCCTGTACCATATGGTACCCTGCACCATATGTTATCCTGTACTGCATGGTACCCTTTACCATATAGTACAGTGTACCATATGGTACCCTGTAACATATACCATGTACCATATGGTCAATAGGTGTTGGTGGCATGAGACACCAGCCAAGACTGAGTGAGTGGTGACGCAAGCTAGCTACTAACTCCCCGCAGTTTCTGAGACAAAGTGCTTTGTCATCCACCTCAAGGAACACGTAAAGTTCCTGTACACTTGTAAATATATAATAGAACATTACTAATATACAACATTTTTGCATATTTTTGTTGTAAACAACTATTGTAACCAAAATAATATTGAAAATATTAGTGTGTTGAATACAACAGTACCATATGGTACAATGAACCATATGGTATCATTGTACTGTATGGTACAATGTACCATATAGTACCATTGCATCATATGGTACCATATGGTACCGTTGCATCATATGGTACCATATGGTACCATTACACCATATGGTACCATAAGGTGCCATTGCACCATATGGTACCATTGTATCTTATGGTACCATTGTACCAAATGGTGCCATTCTACCATGTGGTACCATTGTATCATGTGCCATTGTGCCATATTGTACCATGTACCATTGTATCATATGATGCTATTGTACCATATGGTACCATTGCACCCTATGGTACCATTGCACCCTATGGCACCATTGTACCATATGGTACCATTGTACCAAATGGTGCCATTCTACCATGTGGTACCATTGTATCATATGGTACCATTGTATCATGTGCCATTGTACCATATGGCACCATTGTACCATATGGTACCATTGTATCATGTGCCATTCTACCATGTGGTACCATTGTATCATATGGTACCATTGTATCATGTGCCATTGTTCCATATGGAACCGTTGTATTCAACACAATAACCACACTAATATTTTCATCATTTTGTTTACAATAAACTTGTAAACAAGTTTTGTAAGCAATATAATGATAAACAAATTAGTGCAGTTATTGTGTTGAATACAATGAGTGTACACTTATACAATATACATTATACTGGTCTCACAGGCCACAAATGTTATTAGAAAAAGAAAAAAATTAGAAAAGAAAAGAAAAAAGTATAAAAAAACATAAAATAAAAAAATGGGATTTTGCGGAAGTCACTAATGTTGCCGCCACCCGGTCATTTTGGGTCAACTTGGGTCAACTTCCCACCGCTGTATCTCGGTAAGTACTGATCAGAAAAAACTTTTTTTTGTCTTATTACCTTCACAAAAATATACTCTTTAATTCTGTAAGAAAAAATAAATTTTTTTTTCTCAAAATTTCTTGGACACTGGAGCACCACTTCAGATTTTGGCCTTGAACCCTGAAGGGGTTAAAAGGTCCAAACAGATCGACGTTCAAATTCGTATTGCTTCAAAAGTAGATCTACTTTTTTTTTACATATTTTCAAATATAACAAAAAAAAATGTAGATAAAAGTTTTTTTTACACTTTTTCAAATGTAAAACAAAAAAGATGATATACATTTTTTTACATACGTTCAGATGTTGAAAAATTGTATATATACGTTTGGACCATTTAAGGGTTAAGGGACTTCAATCTCTCTTCATACGGAAGATTTCTAGTGTAATGAATTAATTTTGTCATTCGTTGCTGAATGTTTTCTAACGAATTTATTTCTATTCTGTAACATGGAGACCAGAACTGAGCTGCATAATCTAGGTGAGGCCTTACTAATGATGTATAAAGCTGAAGTATAACCACTAGACTTCTGTTGCTTGCACTTCTTAACCCTTTGAGGGTCGACAGGCCCTCTCCGAAACTCGTTCTCAGGGTCGACCAAATTTAAAAAAAAAAAAAAATTATTTTCTCTTATGAAAAGATAGAGAATCTTTTCCCGATCATAAAGACACCAAAAGTTTGAAATTTGATAGAAAACTTACGGAATTATGCTCTCGCAAAGTTAGCGGTCTCAGCGATGTTTACGCATCGGCGATTTTGCCCACTTTGAGCCCCATTTTCGGCCAATTTCACTGTACTAGTCGACAAAAAACATGAATATTTCGCTAGAACTACATTTTTTCTATCGAATGGGTGCAAGAAACCACTCATTATGAAATTCAACTATCCAGTACAGTGGTCAGAATTTAGCAATTTTGCCAATTTCACACAAATTTCAAAAGATGCCAATTTCCGAATAGGGTCCAGAATAAACAAGAAAGACATTCCTGGCACTAAAATGACATTTCCTCTAGTCATTAGTCACGTCTCAAGGCCCCTCTTATATTCTTTTGCTTTCCACTTTGAATTTTTATTTTCACAAAAAATATAAGATTTACTGTTATGCAGACTACTGCATTAGTGTAAAAAATGGTATAAATATTATTGGTGCACTTGTGAAAGAATATTAGACTCACCAGTTGACGTGTATTGCACGCTTGGCACGATTTGTTTACTTTTGAAGTTTGGTAAAAATCGAACATTTCTGCTACTTGAGCTCAATTTCAAGGCACCTTTCTTTGTAAAACCAGTCAAAATCATCTCAATTTCTGTAATATGTCTTCCATTCTATAAAATGAGACCAAGAAAACTAGAATACAACAATAAATACCATACGAAAATACACTGCAAAGTCGCTGATTTATTCAAAAAAAATGGTCAAAGTTTTTTTTTTCTCATTATGCACTGTGTGCTGCAGGATTTTTTTTAGACTGTGCACACTGACCACATAGACCCATTCTTTCATATGAAGGCCTACCAGCTTTCTCCCACTAGATTTGAGGCCGCTAGAATTTATGAGTACTAGTACGTCAAAAACCCCTACGCGTAAGACGTACTAGTACGACGAAAACCCTCAAAGGGTTAATATAAATCCCAGCAGTCTTTTTGCCTTATTATGCATGCTTAGGCACTGCTGTCTTGGTTTAACCCTTTCAGGGTTGAGAGGCCCTCTCCTAAACTCATTCTCAGGGTTGAAAATTTTTCGGAAAAACGATTATTTTTTCTTATGAAATGATAGAGAATCTTTTCCCGATCATAATGACACCAAAAGTATGAAATTTGATGGAAAACTTATGGAATTATGCTCTCATGAAGTTAGCAGTCTCGACGATCTTTACGCATCGGTGATTTCGCCCACTGTGTACTAGTCAACAAAAATCATAATAATTTTACTAGAACTCCATTTTTTCTATCGAATGAGTACAAGAAACCACCCATTTACCAATTGCAACTATCCAATAAAGTGGTTAGAAATTGGCAATTTTGCCAATTTCACACAAATTTCAGAAGATGCCATTTTCCAAATAGGGTCCAGAATAAACAAGACAGACATTCCTGGCACTAAAACAACAAGTTCTCTTTTCGTTAGTCACATCCCCAGGCCCCTCTTACATTTCTTTTGCTTTCCACTTTGAATTTTTATTCTCACAAAAAGTAAAAGATTTACTGTTATGTAGACTACTACATTAGTGTAGAAATGGTATAAATAATATCAGCGCACTTGTGAAAGAATATTAGACTCACCAGTTGACGTGTATTGGACACTTGGCATGATTTGTTTTCTTTTGAACTTTGATAAAAATCGAACATTTCTGATACTTTGAGCTCAATTTCAAGGTAGTTTTCATTTTGAAGCCAATCAAAATCATCTCAATTTCTGTAATATGTTTTCCATTCTATAAAATGAGACCAAGAAAACTAGAATACAACCATAAATGCCATATGAAAATACAATGCAAAGTCGCTGTTTTAATCCAAAAACACAAAGTTTTTTTTTTCTCTCATTACACACTGTGTGCTGCAGGATTTTTTTTATACTGAGCACACTGACCACATAGACCCATTCTTTCATATGTAGGCCTACCAGCTTTCTCTTGCTAGATTTGAAGGCGCTAGAATTTAGGCATTCTAGTATGTGAATTACCCTGTGCGTAAGCCGTACTAGTATGTCGGAAACCCTGAAAGCGTTAAGGTTGCTGCTTGCCATAACCCCCAAATCCTTTTCGCATTCTGTATGGCTAAGTTCAACATTATTAAGCTGGTAGGTGCTAGGGCTATGAACATTTCCGAGCTTAAGAACTTTACATTTAAGTACATTGAACTGCATCTGCCACTTTTCTGACCTCGAATTGAGTTTGTCTGAAGTTCCAAGACATCAACGTCTGAATCGATTATCCTACCTATCTTCGTGTCATTGTCAAATTTGCTTATGTCACTAGTAATTCCCTCGTCAAGGTCATTTATATATATTATAAACAACATGGGGCCTGAAACTGATCCCTGTGGAATGCCACTTGTTACAGATCCCCACTCAGATTTACCCCCATTTATGCACACACTATGCTTCCTATTAGTGAGCCGTGACTTGATCTATGACAGCACTTTTTCCCCAATGCCATGAGCTTCTACTTTCTTCAACAGTCTCTGATGTGGTACTCTATCGAATGCCTTACTAAAATCTAAATAAACAACATCGAATTCTTTATCCTGATCAACAGCCTCAAAAGCTTTGCTGAAGAAGGTTAATAAATTAGTTTGGCAGGAATGGCCCCTGGTGAATCCATGTTTAGTATCATTAATCAAATTAAGCCTATTGAGATGGCTTCTTATATTATCAGCTATAATTGACTCTAGTAATTTGCCTACAATTGAGGTTAGACTTATTGGGCGGTAATTTGATGGTAACGACTTGTCTCCTGCTTTAAAAATAGGAATTACATTAGCCATCTTCCACATATCAGGCACAATACCTGTTTGAAGAGAAATATTAAAAATATTAGTTAAAGGTTCACAGAGTTCCATTTTGCATTCCTTAAGAGCCCTTGTAAAGAGCTCATCAGGACCAGGTGATTTATTTGGCTGCAAACGGTCTATCTGTTTGATAACCATTTCGCTAGTGACTGTGATATTACATAATTTAAATTCTTCAGGCCCACTAAAAACCTAGAGAAAATAATTATTAAAAATAGAGCACATTTCATTCTCTTTGTCAGTTAGAACTCCACAGTTATTTTTAACCAGTAAACGGTCCAAACGTATATATATGTTTTTACCGCTAGTGCCCCAAATGTATATATACGTTTTATTTTTCCTGCCTTCAAATATGGCACAATTAGCCTGAGATGCCTTGTCAGCATGGAATGGGTCCTAACACTCAGTGTGCACAGCATTAAAAAAATCTGGAACCACTTAGTACCTAGTGGGAGCACCAGTTCAAATGAGTGCCAGCTAGAGCAAACAGCACAGCAAACACCTGGGACTCACTGATGTCATGTAGTATTAACACTCCCATTTTAAGAGGAAAGTGGTTTTGACCCTGAGTTTAGTGGCTCTGAGGTGGATGTGGCCACAAGTGATCAAGGAAATATAAAAAAAAACTCGATAATAACCCATGTGCAATATTTGTGCAACACCCTTTCAGAATGTCTTATAACCTATGCCCTAAGTAAAGAGAAACAATTCTGGCTGGCTGGCAGGCTGGCTGGCTGACTGACTGGCTGATTGGCTGACTGACTGGCTGATTGGCTGGCTAGCTGGCTGGCCGGCTGGCTGGCCAGCTGCGTAGCTGGCCAACTGCTGGCGGCCTGGCTCGATCTCCGTTTATCTGTCTGTATCTATGTCTATCTCTGTCTGTCTCTGTCTTTGTCTCTGTGTATCTGTCTCTGTCTATCTCTTTCTATCTGTCTGTCTATCTCTGTCTCACAGGTGCACATAAATACAAGTATACATAGTGTAAATTACCTAGGATAACCCAAAAAATCCAGACAAAGTGCTATACTCTGCTTGAAGATATGAGTAAAAGTGATGACACAGTCTTGTGGCTCTCTCTGAGACAGAGAGCTAGATGGATAGACAGGGAGCTTGACAGACAGACAAATAGACAGACATGTTTGTGTACCAGCGAAAACTAAGGGAGGCCCTAATCTTTTCTTATCAACTCTTATCACTGCACCCTTGCGAATGCTCATCAAATGTCAGCTCTTATCAAATGTTATCTCATCTTTTCACGTCACTGTCAGGGGTGGACTTTGTTTTTCATGCTTCAAGGGAACATTATTTATCCTCCTCATCCTCCTCATCCTCCTCATCCTCCTCATCCTCCCTCCCTCCCTCCCTCTTCTATACTTCCACATATCCAAAACATTGCTGGGACCTATAAATACTTTGTATATATTCCAAGACAATAGTAAATGACCAAGGCAGGTGTAAATGTCCACCTGTCAATGTGTTTGTGACAATGCGAGTACGATTTCAGTACCTAATACAGTGGACCCCCGGTTAACGAACTTTTGTCATTCCAGTAGTATGTTCAGGTGCCAGTACTGACCGAATTTTTTCCCATAAGGAATATTGTGAAGTAGATTAGTCCATTTCAGACCCCCAAACATACACGTACAAACGCACTTACATAAATACACTTACATAATTGGTCGCATTTGGAGGTGATCGTTAAGCGGGGGTCCACTGTACTAGTGTCAGAACAAAGATTGGTTATGAAATGACAAGAGCTACTCTAAAATGTAATTATCAGAACATGAAAGTTATATAAAATAACATGAAAAATAGAAAAAAAGGTATATCGGCAACACTTCTGCAAGCAGCAGGACTCGATGTTACTGTCACGTGAGCATCCATTGCCAACTTCTGGGCCTCATATCTGGGTAAATACTGACCCTAAATTTTTTGTTTCATCCTATAACACTTGGATAAATGTGTTCTTTTTTTCATTAAAAAAAAATGATTTTTTTTATTTTTCAAAATATTTGGGGCCCTGGAGTAGTGAATGTATATATACGTTTGGACCGTTTACGGGTTAAGGGGCCTATCTTATCTCAAACTTTTGTTCTATACACCTGGAAAATACTTTTAGGGTTAGATTTCGAATCCCTAGCAACTTAAATTTCGTAGTCCCATTTAGCTTTTCTTATTCCCTTTTTAACATCCCTCTTAATGTCAATGTACTGATTCATAAGAAGACCCTTGCCTCTTTTGATATGCCTATAAATGCCTTTCTTCTGCCCTAAAAGATATTTGAGCCTATTATTCATCCATTTAGGGTCATATCTATTCGATCTAATTTCTTTATGCGGGATAAATGTTGTAATAAAGTTGGTAGAATTACCGACAATATGTAAAGTAAAAGGACACAAGTGCAACAAATGTGACATTTTACTGTGGCAACGTTTCGCTCTCCAGGAGCTTTATCAAGCCATTACAAACAAACTAAGCAGTTGGACGTGACTTCCCTCTTCACAAAAGTACCTACCACAAAAGCCATCGAGGTTCTACGACGTAAAGTCAATCAGGACCTTAATCTTCCTCTACCTCCCGGAGAGTTTGTTGACTTGATTGAACTCTGTATTAATTTCAACTGTTTTTCTTTCAATAACAAGCTCTACAAACAAACCTACGGCATGGGAATGGGGTCCCCCATCAGTGCCGTCCTAGCCAACTTATACATGGAACACCTAGAGACCGAACACTTCGCCAACATCATCCCTTCAAGCGTCATTTGGTCACGTTACGTGGACAACGTCCTCATAATAACTCCCAAACGTTTTGTTGTACGGAATCTTCAGGCAAGGCTCAACGCAGTTGAACTGGCGATCCAGTTTACATTAGAAGAAGAGTCCAATGACAAGCTACCTTTCCTCGACGTCCTCATTCACAAAGTAGACAACAACCTAAGATTTCAAGTTTATCGGAAACCTACCAGTAAAAATGATCTCACACTTCTATTTCAGTCAAGATACCAAGACCAAAAGAGGCATCATCATCGGGTTTTTCCTAAGAGCATACCGAATTTGTAGTCCTGAGTTTCTTGACGAGGAATGTACATACATTCACCAAACATTCACTGAGTTACATTTTCCTTCCTTTTTCATCAAAGACTGCAAGAAAAGAGCCCTTCAGATCATTAATTCTCCACGCACCAACAGCACTCCCAACAAAGTTATAATTCTTCCCAACAGCCAGGTTGCACTGAACGTTTCTAAAGTACTTTCACAAGCTAACACCAGAGTCGCCATCGCTTCTAGCACTTCAATAAAGGATCTAACCAGGACTAAACCAAAGCACCATGAACCAGTCAACGCAGGAGTTTACACTATACCCTGTGGAGGCTGTGACAAGATTTACATAGGTGAAACAGCAAGAAACCTCGACACCCGCCTCAATGAACACATTTACGCATGTAGGAACGATAACTTGAACAACGCCTGTGTACAACACCGAAATTCCACCAATCATCTCATGAAATTCAGAGACGCCCAATTAGTGATCAAAGAAACTAATTTCCGCAGACGCAAGTGCCTCGAATCAGCACTGATTGCTGTTTCGAATACAATTAAACAAAACAACGGCAGCTTCACCATCTCTGAAGTCTTAGCAAGAATCCTCCTGAAAACAGTAAACCCTGCCATCACATAGTCTCTCCTGTTTTACTACAAGCATGTTACAGAGAGTGAACACTGAAACAGGCTGCCTCTATCCAGTCTATATTTGTCCAACCTATTTTTATGTTACCCAAGTAATAGCTTTTGTATCCTTTTACTCATGTACGAATTAATTGCTCTACCATATTGTATTACTACTACTACTACAACTTTTGTCACTACTACTACTACCACTAGAATTGCATCTCACTCTGAGCCTATATACCCTCTGTGTCCATGTATTGTTTGTAATGGCTTGATAAAGCTCCTGGAGAGTGAAACGTTGCCGCAATAAAATGTCACATTTGTTGCACTTGGGATAAATGTTCTTTGGGCAGCATGTATAGTGTTCAGAAAACTCATATTGATAGCTCTCTTCATTACCCCAGTTCACAGATGACAAGTGATCTCTAAGCCCATTGTAATCTGCTAAGCGAAACTCTGGGACCGTTACTGAGTTATTCCTGCTATCATACTTCCATTCAGTGCTAAAGGTAATTGATTTATGATCACTTGTGCTGAGTTCCTCTGTAATTTCTAAATTATTAACTAGGGTTTCCTTATTTGCCAGAACCAAATCAAGCAGGTTATTTCCCCTTGTAGGTTCTGTCACAAACTGCTTCATAAAACAGTCCTGAAGTACTTCTTAGAAATCATTAGATTCTAAATTCGCAGTCTAAGAAATTCCAATCAATCTGACTTAAAGTTGAAGTCTCCTAGAATTACTACGTTTTCATGCCTTGTGGCCTTAACAGTTTCCTCCCATAGTAGTCTCCTTTGGTCCCTATCTATGTTTGGGGGATGGTATATCACACCTAAAATCAATTTTTCATGCCGCTCTGAAAATTCTATCGAAAGAGAAAATTCTATCCAAAGTGAAAATTCTATGCAAAACTCTCTGCTTTCTATTGGTAAGCCATGCCTTTATCCATGCTAGAATTTTACCTCCCATACCATGAGCTGCCACTTTTCTTAAGAGTCTCTTGGGAGGTACTCTATCGAAGGCTTTACCAAAATCCAAATAAACATTATCATATTCCTTATCACTGTCTACTGCCTCAAATGTTCTATTGAAGAACATCAGTAAGTTTGTCAAGCAGGAACGACCTTTCATGAACCCATGCTGAGATTCATTAATCAAATTATGCTCTTCAAGGTGACTTCTAATAATGTCAGCTATGATTGATTCTAATAACTTGCCCACTGTAGATGTCAGGCTTATTTGACAGTAATTTGAAGGAATGGACTTATCCTCTAATTTGAATATAGGAACCACATTAGCTATCTTCCACAACTCTGGCATAACATCAGTAAGGATGGAAGCATTAAACACACTCGTTAATAGCTGAGTAAGTTCCATCTTGCATTCCTTAAGTACCCTGGAAAACAGTTTGTCGTGCTTCAGTTTGTCTATCTGTTTGATAACCATGTCCCTCGTGACAGTAATATTACTTAATTTGAATTCGTCAGGAACTGAATAATTGTTAATTTCTGGAATCTCATTTATGTCTTCCTGTGTAAAAAATGACAAAAAATAGTCATTAAATAAGGAACACATTTCCAGTTCATTTTCCGTCAGCTGTCCATTCCCAATTTTCAGAGGTCCTAGTTTTTCCTTCACCTTCGTCCTATACACTTAAAAGAACCCCTTTGGATTGGTCTTTGATTCATTAGCAGTTCTAATTTCATAGTCATGTTTAGCCTTTCTAATCCCCTTTTTTACTTCTCTTTTAAGCTGAACATATTGGTCAGTAAGGTTAACCTCTCCTCTTGTGATGGGCCTATAAATTCCCCTTTTCTCCCCTAATAGATGCTTTAGCCTCCTGTTAACCATTTGGGATCGTTATTATTAGACCTAATTTCTCTCTGGGGAATGTATGTACTCTGAGCACGGTGCTAAAAAATCATAAACGCAGATCCCTTTGTAATCATAAGTATGATCATCATCAATAAAATCATTAGCTAGATAACCCCAGTCGAGATTAGACAAGTGTTCCCTAAGTCCACTATAATCGGCAGAAAAAATCAGGGATTTTTCCCGTATTATCATTATTCTTGTATTCCCAGTTAATTGTAAAAGTGATGGATTTGTGATCACTTGCGTCAAGCTCTTCAGTGATCTCCAGATTATTTACGAGCGTTTCTTTATTTGACAAGGCTAGGTCAAGCTAATTATTACCTCTGTTAGGCTCTGTTACACATTACTTCAGAAAACAGTCCTGAACTGTTTCCATAAAGTCACTGGACTCCAGATTACTGGTCAAAGAATTTCAGTCAATTGGACTAAAGTTAAAAGCCCCTACTATCACTACGTTATTGTGTCTAGAAGCTCTATCAATTTCGTCCCAAAGAAGTCTCCCTCTATGTGGGATAGCGATGAAGTTTCTTGGCGAGGGGTTCAGCTATGTTATAGAAGCCGTTGTTCTGGTTGAAGTTGTTAGATGTACAGATAAGTGATGATTCCAGAATTCTTCGGTATTGAGTGTTGTCTTCTTTGGCGATAAGTCTTGCGTTTCTGTACTTGATTAAATGGTTGTGTGAATTTCAGTGTTGAGCACAGGCATTCCTTGGATCGTCAGTTCTGTCTGCATACTTATTTCAGAACACTAGTGCGCAAACAGAACTGATGATCCAAGGAATGCCTGTGTTCAACACAGAAATTCACACAGCCATTTAATCAACTACAGAAACTCAAGACTTATCGCCACAGAAGACAACACCGAATTCCGAAGAATCCTGGAATCATCACTTATCTGTACATCCAACAACTTTAACCAGAACAAGAGCTTCTATAACATAGCTGAACCCCTCGCTAAGAAACTTCTTCATCGCTATCCCATATAAGAACATAAGAATCAAGGAATGCTGCAGAAGATCCACTCATGTACTTATCCAATCTCTTTTAAAAGCTACCCAAGTTTTTAGACTTCTTCACACTACTCCGAAGATTGTCACGTGCATCTTTCTCCACCTGACCCAGCATTCCCATCCTGTATATAGTCACGTATGTTTCACCCAGGTACATCTATTTGTGACTTTGTAAAGCCCACTGTGTGGGCGAAAGATTGCCAATAAAGGATCACATTATACTGCTTAAGTATTTATATTTCCTCCAATGGTTGTACTGGACTGTGCATAAATTCTGTAAGGGATTTCTGTTCTATTTTACCCTACAGTACATTATACAATTAATGGTAAGGCATCAGCTGAAGAGATAACTGACAAAGTGGGCAGGTGGATCTTCAACTTTCTAACCACTCGAGCACAAAGAGTAATAGTAAATAGAGTTATGTTGGGGGCTGCCACAGTGAAAAACTTTGTTCCACAAGGCACAGTACTCACTCCATCATGTCCTTATCCTCATGTTTGTCATAGATGGAGATGTAAACCATAGCACTATGTGATCCTTTGCAGACAATACTAGAATCTGCATGACACTGTCATCCATTGAGGACAGGGTAGATCTCCAAGCAGATATAAACCAAGTTTTCCAGTGGGCAATAGAAAACAATATGATGTTCAGTGAGGACAAATTTCAACTCCATTATGGAAAAGTAGAGGAAATAATAGCTAGAACTGAATGTACTACACAGTAGAGTGGAAAAGTAGTGTGAAGGACTTGGGAGTGTTAATGTTGGAGGATCTAACCTCCAGGTGTCACGATCACATCTGCTAGAAAAATTATAGAATGGATAATGAGAACCTTCAAAACAAGGGATGCCAAGCCAATGATGGTCATTTTTAAATCACTTTTTTTTTTCTAGGCTTGAACGAAGCTGTTAGTGTACTGCAGTACACTAACAGCTTCGTTCAAGGAAGGTGAAATCACATATCCGACATTGTACAGAGAACCTTTACTGCACATATAAGTTCTGTCAAACACATTAATTACTGGGAACACTTGGAGTCACTTGACCTGTACTCACTGGAGCTTAGGTGAGAGAGATATAATCTATAACTGGAAAATCCTGGAGGGACTGGTCGCAAATCTGCATACAGAAATCACTCCCTATGAAAACAAAAGACTTGGCACACAGTGCAACATATGCCCAATGAAAAGTAGGGGCACCATTAGTATACAGTAGACCGTCATTTAACACACTGGTTACGTTCCTGAAAACGCCGTGTTAGGTAAAACCATGTTAGATTAGATGAATTGAAGAACTTATGGGAAAATAGGATTACATTCATGGGAGCCCCAAAAAAGCCAAACAACTCCTTTTTTTTAGGCCTCCACTCTTAAAAAAATAAAAGTGAGTAATTGTAGTTTTTTGTCATGATGTATTATGTTGTTTGTATTGCATAAGATTACAAATGCAATAGCAATAATAGTATTTCTTACCTTAAATTGTGGGTGCTGGTTTTTGTGGATGATTGTGAAGAGAGTGGAGAATTACGCTGTGGCTCTACTGGGCTGAGGTGGATGGTAGAGGTTCTGGTACTGAAGTCGATGGTTGTACTGGAGTGTGAATAAATTCTGTAAGGGATTTCTGTTCTATTTTACCCTACAGTACATTATACGTACAATTGACAGTAAGGCATCAGCTGCTCTAGACACCGTTTCAGGGTCCTCTTCAGAGAAAAGTCAAATTTTAAGTCATTCAGTCAGTCAAGTCATTCAGTCAATCAAGTCTGTATGTTATTCAGTGAAGTCAGTAAGTCATTCAGTTAAGTCAGTAAGTCAGTCAAATCAGTAAATCAGTCAAGTCAGTCAGTAGGTCAGTCTTCACACAAACTCATATTTACCTCATTCTTTTTGTGTACAAAATGACACTTCATTCCAGCTACAGGCTGTCTCTTGTCTAATATCTTTATTTTCTTTGTTAATTCTAAGACTTAAATGTTTAAACCTTTTCTTGCAACTTTCAGCAACACTTGTATGCCTACTGGATGCTGTGATTGCTTGGCAGATTTAATATATGGCAATTAATGAGTAAACAAACACAGCGAGCTACTGGCACAGGTTCGTCCAACACACGTATGAACCAAACTGAAGGCTGGGAGGGAGGTGAGGATGGCTGATACTGGTGGGGGATGGCGGTAAGTCTCCCCTGTTGACTTAACCCTTTGACTGTTTCGACTGTATATGTATATACGTCTTACGAGCTGGAATTCGGACGTATATCTACTCAGTAATTCTAGCTGCTTCAAATCAAGCAGGAGAAAGCTGGTTGGCCCACATGTGAGAGAATGGGTCTGTGTGGTCAGTGTGCACTGTATGAAAAAATCCTGCAGCACGCAGTGCATAATGAGAACAAAAACTCCGACCATGTTTTTGGATTAAAACGCCAAATTTAAGGTGTATTTTCGTATAGTATTTATGGTTGCATAACATATTTATGGTGTGCATAACAGTAAATCTTCTATATTTTGTGTAAATAAAAAATCAAAATAGACAGCAAGAGTAATATAAGAGGGGCCTGGAGATGTGACTAATGAACAGAGGATACATTATTTTAGTGCCAAGAATGTTTGCATTGTTTATTCTGGACCC